TGAGCGGACATGCAACAAAGGTACACGCTCGAGCGTCAACTCTCCCGCTCGAGCGTACTGTAAAAGTACTGGATGGGCGAAATCTCCGCTCGACGGGCGCTCGACGCCCGCTCGATCGTGAGACACATGCCTCTGCTCGAGCGCCCAATCCTCCGCTTGAGCGGACTGTAAAACAGTGCAGAGAAAATACTGGATGCTCGGATTCCACGCTTGAGCGTCACCAGTCCCCGCTCGAGCGGAAGTGCAAAATCTGGAAAACCCAGATTGCACCTCCAAGCCAAAAACCAAGGTTTAACAACTCAAAACTCGACCTCTTGGGCTGAATTGCCAGAAAACATTTGTAAACACATAGAATGACATGGTTCAAAGCTCAATTTTAAGAAATCAAAGCCCAAGAGTGTCTAATTCAAACTCAATTTCAAATCAATATCAAGAACAATATGAACATGCAAACATGCATGAGTTTTAAACAACTTCAAAGTTCACTTTGATGCTCTAAAGGAGCCGATTGATCCAAAAACAAGTTGAAGACATGGACCATTACAAGGTTATGGACATGCATGTACCATTTTACCATGATATCAACTCACAACTCAACAATTCAAACATGCATGCATGAAATGAGCTTCAATTCACCATTAATGAACCAATTCAAGACTTAACTCTACAATTAGACATGAACCATGTGTGAATCAATTTAAAGACAAAATCAAAAGATGAAATTCTTACCTAGGTTCCTTGAATGCAAGTCTAGAGGCTCAATTAAGCACTTAAGCTATCAATTCCTCAAGATTCAAGCCAAATCTCTATGTTGAATTCACTACTCTCCCTTCCTCACTCTCTAAGGTCGGCAAGAGCTCAAACAAGGCTGAGGAAATGTTTTGATTCAAGTGTGGTGTAGCTCAAAGGTGTATAGGTAGTGGCCCACTCAAGGGCAAAGTTGTAAATGAGTCAAACTCTGCAATTGGTCAATATTTAATCTAATTAATCATACCTAATCAGTTTTCAGATAATTACCCCGTAAAATCACATTAATTATGATGATCATAAAACATCAATCAACTCCCGGTTCGGCCGCCGATAAGGCCTTCAATTAGCAGTTTAAACATAAAACGTGAACAGATCAAATAATCAATCAAACAGATAGAATACAAATTAACACACACACTTAGTCAATTCAATTCTAGTTTTCAGTCAGTCAGTTCAATTCAGTACTTTAATCAGCTCAGTTATCAGTCATGATCAGTTCAGTTTAACGGTAATCAGTGTTTTATCGGTGAGCAGTGATGAGGGTTATTACACACTGGATCGATGCTAGGAGCGTCAGGTTAAGCTCCAGTTTTGTCAAGCCAACCGTTGTGTCTCACTGTGAGGTTCCATGTCTATCCAAGCCATGGCTGTTGTGGGGGTGTTCCAGACTCACCCTTAATGTCTCTGTTTTGTAATAGATGTTTAAGACTTGACTGTAGAGTTGTGTCAAGGGATTTGGTCCCTAACCTGGTTGTTTGTGTACATGATGAATATATATATATATATATATGTTCTGGTTATGAATGTGACTTGTTCATAGAAGTCTTTTTGCATTCAGAATTCCACAGCTCATTGGACATCTTTTATTTACTGTTTTGGCTTCCGCCAGCCCCTTACTCTGTATTATTGTCATTACTGTTAAGTAGGCCTTTGGTAATTACGGATTACTGGCCGGTTACGATGCTTAAACCCATAGGGGCGGGTTTGGGTCGTGACATTCATCAAGGAAAAACTCACTAGTGGTATCATATGTATTCCATTTGTGAAGACTGGAGACCAACTAGCCGATGTTCTCACCAACGGGCTAGGAAGCAAACCATTTCATGGCTTTCTCAATAAGCTGGGAATGAGAGATATTTTTGCACCAGCTTGAGGAAGAGTGTTAGAATAGGAAATAAGTTAAAATAGGAAAAACATAATTGTGTTTCCTTATATTATGCCTATGGCACTCCTGTAACTACTCAGTATTATAGTATTATCAATATAAAAAGGAATAAAGTCTACCTCATTCCCTAACCTTTTCTTTTCACTAAACCTACAATGCTCCAATTTTTCTCACAGCATAATGAAGAAGCTAGTTGTGACAGCAACTTAAATGCTAACCCTTGCAACAATGGTGTTGAAACACCATGATTAGCCCACTAAGAAATTGGCTCCTCATACATTTATTCTTGCTTCAATAACATGTGGCTAATTGAAATAGCCAGATCCATTTGAAAAAGCACCATATTTAACATAAACATTTCGCAGATAAGTTGTATTTTTTTTTTTTAAAACAGTTGCTCAAAACACTTGCTCTGGTCAGTAGACACTTCTTTATCTTCATGCGGTACTAATCGCCATTTGAAAAAGCACCATATTCAACATAAACATTTCGCAGATGAGTTGTATTTTTTTGAAACAGCTGCTCAAAACACTTGCTCCGATTAGTAGACATTTCTTCATCTTCATGCGGTGCCAATCGCCGAATGCCATTACTTCCACCTTGAAGCCAAGACTCATGATAATACTCAGGGACCAAGGAATGAGCTATGCAATGCAAAGGTGTGTTGTTTTTGGTCCATCTAGCTTCTAAAATTTCATGAATGGTGTCAAAGAAATCTGATTGTCCTGTGATATGATCTTTGTCTTCATGCTCAAATATAATTGCTTTCACATTTTCTATCGTGGTGTCCCATATATCATATATAGAATGTAACATAGGAGCATCAGTGTGTGTAATCCTTAGCATGTCAACAATAGGCTCTATAAAACTCAAAAGGTAATCCAAGTCATCCCACCAAACATCATTTACTACGAGTTGCTTCACCTCATGAGCTTTAGTATCCACTGGATTCTTTCCATCTCCTTTTTAAATCTTCCATCCTGCATCCATCACCATTTTCTCTATTGCTGGCTTCACTTCCTTCAAACATTTAGCTGTGACAATGTGTGATGCAAAGGGTTGTAGAACCAAGGTTTGCATCACACATTGTCACGGCTAAATGTTTGAAGGAAGTGAAGCCAGCATTAGAGAAAATGGTGATGGATGCAGGATGAAAGATTTACAAAAGAGATGGAAATAATCCAGTGGATGCTAAAGCTTGTGAGGTGAAGCAACTCATAGTAAATGATGTTTGGTGGGATGATTTGGATTACCTTTTGAGTTTTACAGAGCCTATTAATGACATGCTAAGGGCTGCAGACACTGATGCTCCTGTGTTACATTCTATATATGATTTATGGGACACCATGATAGAAAATGTGAAAGCAATTATATTTGAGCATGAAGGCAAAGATCATATCACAAGACAACCAGATTTCTTTGACACCATTCATGAAATTTTAGAAGCTAGATGGACCAAAAACAACACCTGTGCATTGCATAGCTCATTCCTTGATCGCTAAGTATTATCATGAGTCTTGGCTTCAAGGTGGAAGTGATGGCATTCGGTGATTAGCACCGCATGAATATAAGGAAGTGTCTACTGACCTGAGCAAGTGTTTTGAGCGGCTATTTTAAAAAAATACAACTCATCTGCGAAATTTTTATGTTGAATATGGTGCCTTTTCAAGTGGATCTGGCTATTTCAATCAGCCACATGTTATTGAAGCAAGAATGTATGAGCAGCCAATTTCTTGGTGGGCTAATCATGGTGCTTCAACATCATTATTGCAAGGGTGAGCATTTAAGTTGCTGTCACAACCAGCTTTTTCATCATGTTGTGAGAGAAATTGGAGCACCTATGGTCATATTCATAGCATCAAAAGAAATAGCTTGACAAGTAGCAGAGCTAAATATTTGGTCTTTGTACATTGCAACATAAGGATGTTATCAAGAAAGAAAAAAGAGTACAAGGAAAGGCCTTCAAAGTATTGGGATTTATGTAAGTTTTCTAATTCATTAATATTGTTTTCTTTCTTCTACAACATTTTTTTTTCCTGGATTAGTTATTGACTTTTGCATGATTGTAGGTGGAGATAGGTTTGACATTGATGGATCTCTAATTGAGTTTGCAAAACTTTCCATCAATGAACTTGAGTTGGAGCTTGTGACTTTTGATGATGCAATGGAGGAGGTTCAGCCTGATGATGTTGATCATGATGCTTAAGACTTAGATGCTTAACTTTTGGACTAGCTTGATTTGATCTTTTGCCTTTTCATATATTGATGTTTATATAAAGACTATAGTCTGTTTTTTATTTTTATTTTTATTTATTTATTTATTTTTCAACATTTTGTGGTGTGGTGGAGATGATCAGTCAACTATGAATAAGAATAGTTGACTTGACATACAAAACTTATCATTTTTGTAAATCTAAATTCGATCATCTCAATTAACTTGAAGGTAGTTTTTTATTTTAATTTTTTTATCATAATGTTTATATTTGTGACATCATTCACAATTTGAATTTATAATATGCTGCAATTATAATGATATAGAATATTATAGGTGTGATCAAATTTATACACATTTTAAACTTGATCAAGTAAGAATCCATATCATTTTCTTGTCTTTTTTTGCTTAATTTATATTTTGTACACAATGATTTTTTTATTTCTTGTCTAAACTGATGGTGATAAGGAATTATGCAACTAAAATGGTGGAAAAACATATGAATTGTGGGAGGTTAGAAGCACTAATCAATCAGGTATGTGCCTAGGTCCTACATTCATTTCATAATAAATTACTTTTTTCTTCTTCTATGTATTTTTTAGACTTTAACCATCTGGGTATTGATCATCATGATGTGTAGATTATGTAGTTAGTTAGTACAATAAAAAAATTCTATTAAGATTTTATGTGATGTGTCCCCGTATTCGTATATATTTTTTGGACACTTTTTAGCTGAGTCCCCGTATCCTTATTTTTACGAATAGGTGAATCTGACACCTAAACACATACCCATATCCAAAACCTACACCCAAGTCCATGTAACATTGTGAAAAAGCACCTCAGTCTTTTAACTAAGGATGCCACCATTAACCCATGAAAGATCATCAATCAATATATCGCAGCCTCAAATCATGTTTTCTTCACTTGATTGTTCATGAGCCATATGTCAATATGGTGTGTCTCGATTACCCATCGAAGACTCTGCTCCAAGATGTCGGGATTGGGGGCTCATGTGATGGGATGGTATGTATTTACTTTGTCAAAAATTATGATGACATCTTTTGTATATGAAATCCTATAACTAGACAAAAGCAAAATTTGCCATCTTTTGGGAAATGATCTAAACTTGGATTTCTTATGGGTTTGGATATGACTCCTCCAATGATGATTACAAGGTGGTTAGGATCGGTTTTGCTAATGGGTCACTTGAAGTTAAGATTTATTCCTTAAGGACTAATTCATGGAAGAAGATCCAGGATTTCCCTAGCAATATAATTGGTTTTCATTCTATGGATTCAGGTAAGCTTGTGAATGGATCACTCAATTGGGTTGGAACCAATCCTAGCAATCAGTCTTGGGTTATCACAGCTCTTAATTTAGTGGAGGAGACATATAGAGAAATTCCACAACCTAATTATGGGAGAAAGTTTTCTAGGTTATCAATTTGGGTTTTGAGAGAAAACCTTTGTGTTGTTTGTGAGGATGCTTTTACTTTTGCTGATGTGTAGGTAATGAATGAGTATGGCAGGAAAGAGTCCTGGACTAAATTCGTTTGTATGCCATACTTGCCGAAGAAAATTCTTGTTCTGTTCTCACAACCTTTGTGGTATTTGAAGGATGGTGGAATGTTGGTGAATTGTACTGGGACATTGGTCCTTTGTGATCTCATAGAACATACATTCAAGCAACCTGTCATTTATGGTGTTCCTTATTTTCACCAAGTGGAGGTCTATGTAGAGAGCTTAGTTTCGCCTAATGCTTTTATGAAGATGCCAACTGACCTTAACAATTAAGGGATGAGAAGAAGAGGTACCACAAATTCTTGTTATATCTTCTTGTGGGGAAGCAGTTCTGGAAATACTCTTTTGATCCAATGGGGCACCCGAGATCCTCAGCTAGTAACCTAAAAAGAAATGAACACTCCGGTCGGGGGTGCCAGAATTAGCACTCGGACGGATAAGTCAGTATATACTCTCTCGATTGCTTGTCTCTTAAGTTAAGCATACTAGTTCTCACATATCTTTTTCTGACTGATGATCCTCTATTTATATTATTCCCGTTGGGCTTTAGGGTCGGGCCCACTCTCGATCCATTGCATGTACATCTACTCGGCTTTTATTCTACTGGTTGGAATGCCGATTATTTTATTCGGCTCTTCAATCGACTAGGATCAATGCCGAATAAAAGTTACGTTCTTGACTGATCTCATACCTACATTTGACACTATTGACCTCCAATTATTCGGTTCCCACAATTGCCCTCCAAAAACCCCACTAGCATCAGTTAGTCGGCGTGTTTAGTTTTCGAACTTGGAAAGTCAAAAATTCAGCGGTTAATCCTCATCCCAATTTGTGTCAGAATGCACACGCTTGTTGGTCATCATTACGATATCCCGCCCCTACGTACGCTGCCTCCATTTAATGTGATTTTAAATTTTGTCTTTTCGAATATGTGTTCTGAATACTCAAAAGTCTCTGGTTCAACTTCTAGTGCAACTCCTTCACTTCACGGCTTCTGTAACTCCTTGTTTCTCATTTTCCTCTCTGTCTGCTGTAAGTTTTCTTCTTCTTCACTTCCAACTCCGTTTCCTTGTTTGCTTTTAGTTTTTCATAATCCTTAGGCTGGCTAGGATGGCAAAACATTTGAAGGAGCTCCTTTCAGCGGATCGAATCTCCAGCTTCTGACGCCATTTTTCCATCCCCGATGACGTCCATCTATCACTTTTGGCAGACAACACCACTGATATGTAGAGGACTGATGAGAGCACAATCGTCTTTCCTCTCCTGTCAATTACTAAGGGCGGAGTCTATTTTTCCCTCCACCAATTTTTAAGGGCTGTTTTTCGACACTGGGGTCTAATCCCTTCCCAGCCTAACATGAATTTTTTCTGCATCATAATGGGGATTATAGAGCTAAACCGGTGTCTTAGGATTAACCTAGGCGTACCTGCCATTCGACATTGTTATGCCCTAGCCAAGTCTACTGGCCGGCTGGGATGCTACTTTCTTAGGGCCAAGGATACCGATCATCACTTAGTGGCTATGCTTGCCAGCTCTGGCAAGCGTATTGATGACGTGATGGTCATTGTCTGAGGCAACTAGAAATTCGGCGAGGGTGAAGATCGCCTAGATCCCATGTCAAGGTGAAAAGGTGAACCAGGTGGCTGTATAGCTCATTTTTGGTTCTTTTATTACCATATCTGTATTTAGCTCTCCATCCATCTTATCGTTTTGTTTATGCAAGCAACGACTTGAAGAGAATGTTGGTTTCAGCCGACGACGTTGTACTTGCAGAAATTAAAATCGCACTACAGTTTGTTGGCCGTCCAAACCTTCAAAAACAAGGGAGGGTGGCCTACATTCTCCTGTGGTATGAGCCGACTTACACGACATTTTTGGCTGCAGACAACATTCCAATCCCGAGAGGCAACGATCATCTTACAGCCCTTATCTTCTCCAGCTTCAAAAACTTAAGACAGATTGGTTTAGAAGCCTCCGATTCGGAACACGCGGACGCACAAGTAGCCGAGCCGGTCACCGAGGACTCGAACTAGTTGGCAGCCGCGGTGGACGAAGCTCTTAACTCGGCTTTTGAGGAAGCCGGACTCAATTCGTCCGACCCTCCATCCACGTCGGGCCGTGGGGACGTCTCCTTCGAAGATATTTTTACAAACTTGGGAGACCTTCCCGGCGCTTATCCTGAGGGTATGGTTGGGGAATCGCTCTCGCAACTTGCCCGGAGGAAGAACGTCGAAAGGATGGCTGCTAAGAGAAGAGCCGAGGTTGTCCAATCGGAAACTCTACCCGCCACGGTCATTGAGTCACCTGTTATTGCTTAAGAAACAGCTCAAACCAAAACCACCGAGATGGAGCAGGTGGAACGGACGTACGAGGCTGAGCAAAGGGGGAAAAAGCGCCCCGCCGAGCAAGAAGCCGCGTAGGACGAGGACCAAAGCGACAAACGGTCACCTATTGAGGAACCGGACTTGGTTGTTTCGTTCACTGTTCAACCAAGGATAAGGAACATGCCGATTGCCTCTGATGCGTCGGTGTTGAAGGATCTGGTTATGGCCCTAAGTATGGCCTCTTCAATATCCCTGCCAATTGACAGAGCCATATTCTGCACCAAGCCGGATCTAATGCTAATTGCTTTGGCCGCTCAATCGGCCTTATCGGTACATTACTTGTCTTATCTGCATCCTCCCATTTTAATACATATATATATAAATATTTTTCTCTTTATTTGTTTGTTGTAACTCTAGTTCCTTGTTTTGTAGACGGTGGGTAAGATAGCCGAGATCGGTCACCGTCAACATGATGCGATAGAACAGATTAGTTTCTTGAAAGCTGAAATTGATAATGAAAAGAACAAGGTTGTGATAGCCTCTCAAAGAGCCAATTTTGAGGCAATGCAGGCGGCGGCAGAACGAGCGAGAGCCGACTCTGAGGCCGAGCGAGTGAGGAATTCCGACCAATTGAGACTTGCTGCCGAGGAGAGGGCGAAGGCTAGCGAAGATGCGCTTCTATTAGCCAATGAGGTAATCGCCATGCTGGAAGCCGACTTGGAAGAATCGAAGAAGGCAAAGGAGATAGCCAACTCCGAGATTTCCAAGGCGTTCCAAGCTAGGAAGGATGTTGCCTTGGAAAGCTACGTGGAAGAAGTGCCAAAGTTCGAGAATTGGGGATTCAAACACGGCTGGATCAAAGCCCTCACTGCTGCGAATATGACATTGGCGCAGCCAATTCCATACAAGCAGGTGGACATTGATCCGCTGGCGCCTGACCCTGAAGATTGATTTAAGGCATATTTTGGTTTTTGGTAGGCATCCTAGATGCAAAGCTCTCGTAGGTTTTTGTTAGTAGATTTTCATTTCTTTAAATGTAAGCTAATTCTCATGTGTAAAATGACTACTATTAGCGCTCAATTTATTAATGAAAATTTTCCACGCTTTCAATTTTATTGCATATACTGTTTGTCTTTAATTTGTTAATGATAATTCTTTATGCTTCTCTATTTATTATACAAGTAGTATATCTGATAGGTTAACCGAATCAATTAAATACCCTCTGCGTCTTTGCTCTTTAGCCAAGTAACTAAGAGAATCAACAGTTAACAATTTGTAAAGGTGCATGAAAATTCGATAGATTAACAAGTAAAACGGCTTAAGGATTCGGCGTTTGGCCGATTACATTACTGAATCCGCCCTTGTCCTAGCGGGTGCATGAATTCTAACGCCGAATGATATTGGCCCATGGAGCGGCTTGGGCACTCAACTTGGTCGGCGTAAGGGCTTGCCTTGTGGCTGATTAGATTGATGAACTTGCTCTTGCCCCAGCAGGTGCATGAACTCTGACGCCAAATAATACTGGTCCATGGAGTGGCTGGGGCACTCAACTTGGTCGGCGTATGGGCTTGCCTTGTGGCCGATTAGATTGATGAATCTGCCCTTGCCACCGCGGGTGCATGAACTCTGATGCCGAATAATATTGGGCCATGGGGCGGCTGGGGCACTCAATGCGTAAGGGCTTGCCTTGTGGCCGATTAGATTGATGAATCTGCCCTTGCCACAATGGGTGCATGAACTCTGACGCCGAATAATATTGGTCCATGGAGCGGCTGGGGCACTCAACTTGGTCGGCGTAAGGGCTTGCCTTGTGGCCGATTAGAATGATGAATCTGCCCTTGCCACAGTGAGTGCATGAACTCTGATGCCAAATAATATTGGTCCATTGAGCGGCTGGGGCACTAAACTTGGTCGACATAAGGGCTTGCCTTGTGGCTGATTAGATTGATGAATCTACCCTTGCCCCAGAGAGTGCATGAACTCTGACGCCGAATGATATTGGTCCATGGAGCGGCTGGGGCACATGATTCAATCGGCGCCTGGCTTTTGGAGTTTGGAATTAATGAAATCCCCTTGGGGGTGGTGCGTCCGTAGGGGATAAATGGGATGAGTGCTTCATGCGCGTAGGTCCCATTAGAGTGTTTAAACTCGATTCAACCAGTCTGTGAGGAAGGTTAGATAAGTGTGAGTGTCAAATAGACTATTCTTTAACAGTAGAGGAGATGAGAGGACATTGGCTGAGCTTGACGTAGAGATGAATTGTAGTGGCAAGCCTATGTGCACAGGTAGTAGGATGTCGAGGGAGTAGGGGAGGTGCCAGTCCCCACATCGTCGAAGCAGGTTGCCCAGAAAGGAGAAACAGCAACGGGGCAGCTCCTCTCAACCGCGCTCAAAGGGAGAATCTGGTATGACACCGCGCCCGCTGAGTTTTGCAATTTTGTGGGGAACAAACTGATGACGAAGGCAGATTCAATTGTGCACGACTGAACTGTGGCAGTCGAGTTCGCTCGACATATTTTTCCACCAGAAGTCCAGTAGTCGATGGTCGATCGACGGGATTTCGAAGTGTTTCGGGAAGGCATCCATGGAGCGGTGAGAGGGTTGTACACCACTTATGAAATCGGCATGCGTCCACGTGCCGCGTGGCGGGAGATAGAGCAGAAGGATGAGCGCATTCGAAACTTAGAAGCTTGCACGAAGAAGGCTGAGCGTGAACTGAGGGCCAAGACTGTCGAGACACACTCGGCTGGCCCAGGTAACCCAATTGTGGAAGAAAGGGTGACACAACGGTTGATAAGTCATGGGATTGCCGATCGAGATATGGCAAGTATGTTTGCAATAGAGAATGCAAAGGCCACGACCTATGAATGAGGCTTCCACGACAGCCGAAAAGTTGGGATAGACAAGAGAAGGGAAAAGCTCGCCGAGAAAGTTTGTCGATGCGAGAAT